TTTTAAGAAACTAATGGCAAATATTTCCATAGTATCTACAGATAATAATAAATTGCAATTGTGCTCCAGCCAGCATGTTTCTTCTAAATATAGTAAAGGATGTTTTGTAATTTATTTAATTGCTTAGACTTGACAAGGAGCCAGTGCTAACAAACTTGCTTTGATAGCAGTGCAGTGCTTGTGGCGTTCTTTGGCTTGGGAATGAAAATGCTGAGAAGAAACGTGTGAAATAAACAGTGAAGCAAAACTGCTGTAAGCTCTGCTGCTTCCCATGCAGGTGTGCAGGTCCTGAGCCACAGGAGGGACAACTGCATGAGGGAGGGGACAGCAGCGTGAGTCACACGTCCTGCAAGTACAGGAAGGACAGAGCTCTTCCTGGTGTTACGGGCAGGGAATTGTGATGCAGTTATTTAGGGAAAATGCAAGATAATCTGTTCCACTTCTAATTATTGGACTTCACTTCCTACTCCATCTGTTCTGGTATCTTCCATAAAAAACCTTTGGGGATTCCAGTTGTTATTGAAAACTATTAGAAAGGCTGCAAGAAGAATAAGATTTTTCAACTTTCAACTGCAAGAAGAATAAGATTTTTTAAAATTCATTTTCTAACATATTTGTCTCTAAAACACTGAAATTCCAGTTTCCTATTGTTTTGCCTCAATCTTGTCCCTCTGAACCCCCCCTCTCCCCAGTAGACATCATTATTTGTCGATATATGTGATTTTGATATACTAAATGTAGAGGTTAAACTGGATGTAGATTGCCCAATGCATAGAAATTTGTCACTCAAATACTTTTATTCAGTCCTGAGAGTGTTTATGCTTCTATTCTCTTGCTCTGAGTGTGGATTGCTTCCTTTGATAGGAGGATTAAAATATTATAGTACCATCTTTAGGTAAAAGGAAAACAGGAGAGACTTGAGTATGGCTTTAGATTTCTCTATAGCTGCCTTTAATGAAGATGTTGGAAGAGAATGCTTTCAAGTCTGAAACATGATTCATTTATTTAAGTAAGCTGAAATAATTCATGAATGTGTTTTATTATGAGCATGTTCTGTGATTGAATTGGAGGGTTTTTGTATAGGGGTCTAATAATGACCCAAATCTGAGGAATTAATGAGCAGGCATTACACTTTTTTGTGGTTTTCAGTGACAAAGAAAAGCATTTGGTGAGAAAATCACAAAATTGGTGATTTTCTTGGTGCCACTTTTACTTAAAGAAGAGGACCAGTGACTGTTTACTGTGGCCAAGGTTAACTGTGATTCCCTCTGCCAAAACTGCAGTCTTGCTAGTCTGGAATTCTGTTTTTTTTCTGTGAAGCTGGAAAAGTGGGGATGTTGGTAGAGATTCTTCAAGCCCCTGTGTTGCCTGTCCCCTTGAACAGGCTAAAGCTTGCTTCATTGGCTCTGGGGACAAGTCTTGCCACAGGAGTGACAGACACATGACCTTCTAATTGCCCCCCAAAAATATCGCTTGCACTGCTTAATCCATTGCACCTTGTTAGAGGCAGATTAAATTTGGGTAAAGATTACAGCCTTTCCTAACTTCTGTAGAAACATCAGTGTCCCCAGGGCCAATGAAGCAAGCTTTGGCCATGTACACACTGCATTGCAGTGTATGCAAAGCCATGTGTGCATGGCCAAAGAGGAGCAGCACCTGTTACACAGGGACTTGTTTGGTCAGATAAATGTGTGTAGGAAGAAGAAAAACTTTTTTAAAAATGAGACATTTTGGGTCATCTGAAAACCTCTTTTCCTACTCTTTGACAAGAGTAAAAGGGACCAGTGAGGTTCAGTGCCTGTTGCAAAGTCTGTCCACAGCGTGCGTTCCCAGTACTTAGATAACTCCTGCTGTGGGAGTCAAAATTGAATTTATAAAACACTGTTTAACAAGTATGAAGCTGAAATAAGCAAATGCCTTTGGAATAAATATAACTGCTCTTTCTTGTAAAGATTTACAGGTAGTTTAAAACAATCTGTTCTTGACATGGTAAGTTCCCTTTACCATTAAAATGCTACTGAAATTATAAACATCTGTTAAATTAATGAAAGATAATGATAATGAAGCTTGTCAGCAGCACATTTTTTGTGCCAATATTCCTGCTTAGTTCAGGTCTGGATAAAGATTTGGTGGAGTGGCGGTGAGAATCTATTTGACCATTGGGAGAAGTGCCAGGGCAAAACTGCCCATTGCATTTGATTTGATGATTTTTCCATGAAGTGCTTCTACTTGTAATTTAGGCCACCTTGACAAGATAATTCCTTCAGAGGCTTTCAGAGGTGAGTCTAAAAGCCAAACTTCAGTCCAACAGGGTTATCGATATTTGACTGGCAATTGTTGAAGTAGTAAATTGGCAAACAAAACAAACACATTTTTTATGAATAATGCCTTCACTAATTAGTCTGGTAGGTGTATATATTTTATTTTCTGTGTGGGCTCCAGATGTAATTTAGTCTCCTGGTTATAAATTACTCAGGCAGCAGAAAAAACATGGACTGCAAAACTAGAGAGAGATTTCAGATGTCTTTTTCACATGAAAGATTCTGTGCTCAACCAAGGAGTACAAAGAAGGTTGCATTTTTTTCAGTAGGATGCCTTAAAGATTTTATGCCACATGCTTTCTATACATTGAATAAGGACAGTATCAGAAAATTAACTTTGATTTCAAATGTCAGTCACAATCTAAGTCTATTCTGTTGGGGTTTTTTTCTGTAAAATTGAGTTAGAATATGTAACCATAGCTTCATTGAAGTACATTTATGTAAAGAGAGGATAGGTCTTCTTTAACTTCACAGATCTTTAATTGCTTATGAACTTCAAAGAGAAACTTGCAGAAGTTAGATTGATGATGGCCCTTTAGGTAATTGAATACAACATAGTTCCTGTTTGAATGCAACTCTGAAATCCAAATTATGTAAATCTACTGTTTCAGAACCAGCTAGTAGAAATAATCATAATTTTTGCAGTTGAAGATAGTTTCTTTGGATAAATTCTCTGACACACTGCTTTCCTATTGATTCATCTTTTCCATTATGGATATGAATAAGAAACTATAGGCATGTTAGCCTTTAGCTTTTTGACGTTTGTGACTCCACTTGAATAAGCTTTGACGTACAGTTAATTAGGCACAACTGTCAATTAGTCTCACGGGCTTATGCAGGAACAAACTTGACATTTATGAAAGTATTGGGATAGAAGAAGGGAGAAAATATTCTGGGACAGTTTCTCAAGCATATTTTTCCTTTCAAGTAGTGCGGCTCTGTTGGGTATGAAACATTCTCTTTGCATGGCTGTCGTTGACCCATCTTTGTGCAATCATGATTCTTTTCCTATAGAAGAAACAGAGAATAGATTACAGCCTGCTATTCATGTGCTAGACCATAATATAATGTTTACTATGCTGCAGCTGAGATCAAAATGACTGTCTCTCCAGCATCAACAAAAATGGAGCTCAGGGCTAATTATAAGTGTTTGTTCATCCAAAAAATCCATGAAGCCCCATCTGGCTTCTGAACTTAGCTTTCCTCTTGGATACTATAAGATGGACATGAAATTGTGACTGTGGAGAGAGGACAGTGAAAAGGAGGAAAATCTCTCCTTTGCCTTCAGTTTTGTGTGTCCTTAACAGGCAGAAAGGGAGATCCCTTAATGGAAGACTGGTGCTCACGCAGCACATACGGATTGCCTGGCATTTTGCAAGTGGACACAAATGATTTGGTTTTATGGGAGGAGAGAAGGAAAATTGCTTGTTTACTTCTCTAACCCCCTCCTTCTAGCTCACTCTCAGTCCCCCTCCCCTTACCTCCTGCCCATCCCCTTCATGGCTGGGCTAGAAAAGCTCAGATGCCTTCTCTGAGAAAAAGCTCAGGTATTGTGTAAGCTGTGCTTGAGACAAGGGAAGCTCCTAAGAGGCCTGTTATGCTCCCAGCTGCTGGCCACTGATGAGTGGGAGGAGGAGGTAATTATGGAGAAATTGTGACAGAGGTAGGAGAGACAGAGTGACTCACCCTCCTTTAGAGGTGTGGGACACTTATGTTCCACTGCCTGCTCCTGTCGCTGTTGAATTATTTATTCAATCCAGGAAGGAGACACTGAGGGTTTTTCTGGTTTGTGGGGTTTTTTTGTGTGTTTTTTTTTTTCCATTTTGTATTTCAATGAGGGAAATTTTATTTGAAATCTATTTTGTATGGTTTCAGGGGAAAAATATACTCCCACAGGCATAGCTGGGAGCTGTGTGCTAGGCACACTTCTTGTGTGAATAGGGTAGATAGCTAGTTTAAAATGAATATTTGGACATCTGTGCCTGACCATTCCTTTGGGATTTTGTTGGGCAACGATTCTTAAGTGTATACAGAAAAAAAATTCAGCATGTAGATTTCTAGAAAACTTTAGTTTGGAGAGCTCCAATTTATGAAATAGTTAGCATTGCATTGTAAAGAATTGTGTTCATCTGTATGCTAGCTGATCATTTAATTGTTGGCTGTTTTCTAATATTTGCCTTCACTGTAAAAAAGGCAAATTTTTACATGTTCAATGAAATGTTTGTGTAGCACCTGATAGTTAGTCAGAAGAGGGGAAAAAATAACATGCAGATCACTATTTGGAAACAAACCTCTGGATTTCAGCATATATGTATTGTCTGTGCTGGCTGATCTAGTAGGCAACCATGAATTGCAAAAGCAGCTGATTTTCGTGGGCACCCATCCTGGCCTTTTTGGCACAAGTAGAATTTTGTAGCTGTAGAAAGGATTTATTCTACCTGCCAGCGTGATTTATATACCATATGTCTTCTCTTCAGCTTCTGAGTATCCATGGCCATAGGGAAGTGCTCTGCCTCGTCTGTACTGTGTGTAAATAGGTTCCTTTTAATGATATTAACTCCTACAGAGCCTTTTCATCAGCCCCTGTGTAATTTTTTTCTTGGCAGTTGTGTCAGCTATACTGTGTGTGTTGCAGAAAGGAGAATACCATGAATTCCTGGTTTTGTTTGCTCTTGGCAGGCACTACTACACTTCCCACCCTTGTGCGCACACCTACCTTGATGATGCAGCCTTCCCTGGATATCAAACCCTTTATGTCCTTCCCTGTGGACAGCAGTTCTGCTGTTGGATTCTTCCCAAATTTTAACACAGTAAGTAAAGGTGTTTCCACATTTAGTTTCAGTGTATGCTTTCCAATCTGGTTCTAATATCCAGTCCTGAAGCTGCCTTAAAGCAGTGCATTGCTTACACAGTTCTAGGGAGCCCTTTTATTCTGTGCCACAGTGGTGGCTTTTCCCGCTGTATGAAAGGCTTGGAGTGGTGTTCAGCCTTCTCACTGTGAATGGGGCTGATTGATTTTTAACTTGGTCTCTTGAGGTGGTGTTTGCATATGGAAAAAAACAACCCTATGCTATGCTAAATATTTGAGAAATGATAAAATTATTTGGAGCATTTCTCTGGACATGTGTATTTCTATATGCTGTAAAAAAGGAAAAAAAAAAGCTAATGGACAGACAGGTGTGACAGGTAAGACCTAAATCCTACACCGCTGTGAATCAAGCTAAGTCTAATACAACCAGGAAAGCAACTGGAGGATATTGTTAATTTTGCATAATTTCAACATTAAAGTGTAAAACTGCACAGCCAGCCAATATGAAAAATGTGAACTTGTTATTTTAACTTTATGGTAAAACATCTTGGTTTTTTTTTTAAACAAACAAACAAAAAATATTGCCAAAATAATACTTCTGTGGTTCTTCAAGTTCATCAGAGAAGCAATTAAAAAAAATACTCCCTTCTTTACTTCTCACTTCTTTATCAGCTCATAAAAAGGCAATGAGTGTTATCAAAATGCTTGTTTGCCATCACATTTTAGCTTAAATGTTTAAGCTAATGACAAGAGGAGGGAAACTGTTGAGTCATTCCTGCCCAGTCAGCAGGTACGGTGTGTCTGTAGGTGACCGTCACCTGCACTGCTGCACACTGCGCTTGTCACCGTGGCTGCTGGGGGCAGAAAGGGGAGCAGTGTCACCACCACCACCACACAGTCACCAGCTGAACCACTGCCAAGTGTTTCCTTCCACAAACTAACTGTCTGTCTGAAATTGGAACAGCAGCAGCATTATTTCTCCTCGTGCTGTGCAAATCCACCCTGCTGCCAGGCCTGGTGCTGCAGCCCATGGGGATGTGGGGCAGGTGTGGGGTGACAGGTGAACCAGCTTCTCCCACGTGCCAGCAGCCCAGCGTATGAACAGCAGCAAACATTGTTAATTCATTGCAGAACACGTATGGGAAAAGTGTGCCTTTATCAGGGTGATGTGGGGATGTGCATTTGCACAAAGATTTAAAAGATTAGAAAAAAACTAGGTATGTTAAAAGAGCAGGCTCAAAACTCAATACCATATTATTAAAGAAGCAGTGTGTCACTACCATATCTAGACATGATGCAATTGATATTAATTTTCCAGCCACTTCCTAATACTCTCTGGAATTTTGTTTGTTACTGATTTGTTTACTTTCCACATGCACAGGTTTTCTAGGTGAGCTTTTTCACAGAACAGTTCATTATGACTCAGAGAAACTTTTCTTCAGAGATGTAGTTTTAGAGTTAAACAACCATTATTTGCTTTCTGGTGGTATTACTGAATATCAGAGTTGCAGTAGCCTCTAGAGACAGATTAATTTTTATATTTACACTGGTTTTGCCTAGTTTATATTTATCTGGATTACCTTTCATTTGCCTAATTCCTGACAGGTTTATCATTCCCAACTGTCATTTCTTTCCAAACTTCTGTAGGTTTGATTAGAAATTAGACCTGGGGTGATTGGCAAGCATTGCCAACTTGGTGTCTACTTCCTCCCTTGGAGTTTTGATAATTATATAAAATTATGCTGCTATACACCACAGACATTGCATATTTAAACTCTATATTTTAAGAAACAGTGGTTCAGTACTTCTCTATTTCTAAAATGTAGACTTTGCCATTTATCTTGCAAGAACTGATTTCCCTTAAGAGTCTTTCACAATGGCCTTCAAAACTCATTGGAAAACTAAATCATTCATGGTTATCTACTGACAGGCTCATTGAATGCCAGCTGTCATGTACTTCCTTTATTTCTAACTTAGCACAACCTTTGCAAATGTAGATTTCTAGGTTTTTGTATATGTAGTCTTTTTTTTTTTCCTTTTTCATTCCAAAGTGGTGGCAATAGTATATAAAAGTGTTTAAAACAATTTTTCCAGAAGATGATTTTGAGTTCAAGAAGCAAAATCCAGTTGATCCATAACATATGCATCACTCAAAGAGCCACAATCTTTTATCTTATGCAGGAAGTGAATTTTAGAAGAGCCAAAAAAGCCATCATTTCCTTTATGGATCAATTAGGAAATCTATGCGCTTCATTCATAGGAGGACTTGTCAAGGACAGCAGACAGGGAAACCTCCAGTGTGCTTCCCTTCATCTCTTTGCCTTCCAAGGGGCTGAGGGGACCCTTCTGGGGAGCTAATTGTGCTTGCACTAGTTCATTGAAGGTGGCAGAAAGAATTGGTCTGAGACAAAACTTCTTTGGATCCACCTGCATTTTCAATGGCTGTCAGAGACAAAAACATTTTTCTAAACCTTGCCAGGAGGTGGTTTCTAACTTAACATCAGTGGCCTTAAAAAAGGGAAGTTTTTGCATGGGAACTTAATACAGTAACTACCAAGGCAGAAAAACAAGGTAAAATGTATTAACTATAAACATCTTCAAAGAAACAGTCCCTACAGTTTTTTTCCCAAAAGAACTTCTCTTATTTATGGAAACATATTTAAAATCTGGGGTAAACCCTTTCTTATTTAGTTAACTTTGACAGTTTTCAGTTCTGAAAACATCTGTGATTCTCTAGATAAAACGTTAGCGTTCCCATTTTGTTTATGGAAGTGTTTTGATCCCTAGCTTCTCTCCACAAGGGGTACTTTCAGCTGAAGCAGTGAGCAGACCCTGATTTTGTAAAAGAAAAGCCTACTCCAGTCATATCTTATTTTCTTGATGGAACTGTGTGATTTAGCTTAAGCTGTCTCCCCTTTGCTTCTCTTTAAATCAATAGTTCTAAATATGCTGCAGATGTATGTATATAAATTGCCAATTCATGCCCCAATTAAATTTGTCTTTGTTCATTAGGACTTATTACATAGGAAAAATTATTTGGGGAATGATTGCACTAACTCACTGGATACCTATCTTTATTCCTCTGTATAAAACTTTTCTGTTTCAACAGATCAGCCAGAAGGGGATCTTGTAAGGGCAGGATGAAGGATTCCAAGCAAAGAGGATTGCAGAATAGGTGCTGTCTTCCCTGCTCTTTTCATATCAGTAGCAAGTAGTTTTGTCAGAACAGCAGAGGCATGATCAGACTGTCAGAGTCTGAGCCTGAGTTGCTGCATGGAAGGACAAACCCTCTGTCAGAAATGCTGCAGCAGTGGATCCCAAGGTGACATCACATTTGTCCTGGCATCAGGTTCCAAATGGAATACCCCATTTCAATACCTCGTCTGAAATGCAGAGCTTGAATCAAATTATCAGATATTATTACTGAACATGTTCTTGTTTATAAGAAATTAAGAACCATCATTATAGGAGCTTCCCAAACTGGTACTTCCAGTTTGAGATGGATGTGGACCAGAAGGTATTGTTTAAGCAGAGTTCTTTTTCAGCATATTAAAAGGACTCTAAAGATGCCTTAAGAGGTTAAAAACTTGCATATTGATTACATTCAAAATATGTATGTCAAGTATATAGTCAATGGAAATCAAAGTTAATTTTAATTCCCTGTTGCGTGTTTATTATAAGATGATCTTTAATTTTACACTTGCTGGTTTCTACCACGCATTCTTTCTCTAAACCCCCTGATTCTTTATCTCCTGTCATCCATCTTCCATCTTTATCTCCTGTCATCCAGGTGTACTGAATGATGAAAGGATACTTTGTGATCACATCATGGTACATGTGCTAAAGTGGCTGAAAGCCAGGATTTATCTTGCAATGTCAAGATCACTGATCACTTCATGATCACTGTCTCCATCTCCTGATATCAGGGTTGTGTACTCCCCAAAAGAGAAATCACAAAACTCCAGTATATTCTGCCTTGTCCTGAAATGAGAGCAGTACTACATGGTTCACATTTAGTTGAAGTAGTACATCCAGGGACCTGTCAATCTGCACAAATACATTATCAGCAGCTTCTCAGATTCTATCATCATAGAAAATAATCAGCAATTCATATGCTTCTTTCTGAGTTTGTTATGGCCTCAGGGGTAATCAAAGATTAGAGCATCTCTTGTAGCTTTCACATTAGTGAAACATTTTGCATCTAACTAGCCCATGATTGGTTTCTAAATGCTAGTTCATACCCTTCATGTTTTAGAGGACACATGGGTTAATGTGGCCTAGTTATTGCCTCAGTGTCTTATTTCTCTTCAAGTAGCTTTATGCTGATTCTTTATATTAGAGTTCTCTCAGTCCCCTTGCAAAGTGGACCAGAGATATTTTACATCTGCCAGTGAAGGTGAGCCAGCTGGAATGTGCTACAGGAAGGGAAGAGGAGCTGACTAGTAACTCAGTCAGAAATTTCTGACTCTTCTCCAACATTAGCCCTGCCTGGACTAAGTATCCCTGGCCTACCCCCAAGACAACTACAGGGAGGAACTGATTTTCTCTTTCCTCTTCTGCATTTTCAATTATTACTCACATTTTTATTTGCTGCCTATCTTTTCTCATTTGAAGGGCACAGTAATCACCAAGGCAGAAGCTGAGTTCAGCAGATAAGAGCACAGGGCACCCGTATCACCAGCTTCCCTCGCCCCTCTGTGCCAAGTGCCTCTTCTGCCTTTCTGGCAGGACACTGTGGCTTGGGAGCTTTCTCTTTCCTTAGCAGGGTCTGAATTCAGCCACTTAACACCCTGCTGCAGTGCCAAAGTACGCTTTGCAGCACAGGATTGTATATGGCAGGAGCAGATTACAAATGCAGCCAACTGGATGTTGCCAACCTGTTATCTACCATCCTTTTTATCCAAGCACTCTGTCCCTGTGCTCTGAATTCCCCTTTTCTATTTTTTTGGAGTGCTGAAGGGAAGTGACCTTTTCTGGTCCTCTCTATCTGACTCCAGAGAGGAGGTAAAAT